CGAGCTTACTTTGCACGGAGTCACCTCTGACCTCGCCTCACTTCCCTTTTTTCTCACTGTCACTGTCCTGGATTAACAGCTACCAAATCAAGCACCAGCATATTGATCCTTGACTCAGGTCTGTTTTCTAGGGATTCTGGGTTAAAATACATCCCTTAACTTAGAATTTAAGTAAAATATATTTTTATAATTGTAAATTGCTGGTAATGAAAAACTCCATTCTTCAAGGTATTTTGTAGATACTGAAGGTAAGACTTAATGGTTTCAACATTGTCATGTTGGTTTGTTAATACCATCTGTCGATGCTTCTCAAGATGCTAATTATAGTAGCGTAGTTTGATTTTTTAAATGGCTGGTAATTCAAAAGTCTTTTAGAATAAACTTATTGTTTGAAAGTGGTATTAAGATACCTAAGAATAGTGGTCTTCCACTGAACGATGAAACTTAAAATTAAACTTGTTGGCAACAGCTGTTCTTCCTTTACTGTCTCCCATTATTTTCTGATGGCATTATGTAGATAAGTCTTATCTCCCAAATTATATTGTAGTCTTCCCCTGGGAAAGACCTTTTTTTGGCTTTGTTTTGTCCCCCTTATGTCCCGCAATGTTTAATATGGGGCTGAGCACCTAAAAATGACTTGAACTCTTAGAACCTTACTGCTTACTAAGGGCATGTTCAGAGAGTATTGACACCCTGCTTTTATGAAGCTCCTTTTCTTGTTCTTAAATAGGTAAGATTTTTAGCTTTCTGTGCCCCAGACATTTTACAAATATGATGGATATGGATCCTCTTCCCTCTCACAAAACACATCTGAGGAAGCACCGTACCCGAAGTTCTACTCCAACTTTATGTTATTGGCTAGAGTCATATTTTTAGATCTCTTTACTTTTCTTTAAATTATATTACTAATAATGTCAAAACAATTGGCAAGGTTATTGTCCAGAGGTAGTGAATAACATAACAGAATTGAGGTACAAATGCTAGTCTGCTAGCTCAAAGAAGCAGGTCCATGAACCATGCTTGGCCTTCATGTCTCCTGGATACAGGTGTAGGCAGAGGAAACAAGCAAGGCCAATGAGAATCCTTCCTTGAGATTTAATATATAGATGTGGAGAAAAAAGTCTGTGTTCCCTTTGAAATATGATACTGAAGAAAATAGCCTCAGGGCTTCTAGTAGCCATGTTTCCTGACATTTGAAGAAAGTGAGAGAGAGAGAGCTGCATTGTTTGAACCCCTGGATTTGAATATCTCTGAGGTGGAGCCACTCTGACTTCCCGTTTACATGTGCCAATAAATTACTTTTTTGGCTCGAGTGAGTTTGAGCTGCGTGTTTGTTACTTGTGACTAAAAAAATTTTGATCAATACATAGTCTGAATGCTTTAAAGTATTTGTGGATAGTGTCTGGAGCAGGCTGATAAAGAAGTTTTCAAAGTTTTTGAGTCATAGGGCATTGGGTGTATTAAGATATGTATCTTCCTTTACGCCCTCACTGTGATAGCCCCAGAGCCTATCAGTTTTTGATGGATAGTCACTTGAGTTAGGTTATTTCTCACCAACTTGTTTTTCTCTGCTCACAGTGAATTTTCCTTCTGTGTAACTTCCTCATATTAGCTGTCAGGTATTGAAATGCACAGATGATACCTTCGTCTCCTGTTCTTAGTCAAAATTTATAGTCAATGCTGTGTTTTTAAGTGGAATGTTTATAAATATTTTACAAGTATGCTGAGTTTCATTCATTCAACATAAGTAGAATACCCTTTTGCTTTTCAGTATTAGTAATTAATTTTAATGATTTGATTTTCTTTTTCTAAAAATGTGTTAAAACACACTGAGTTTCCTAACTGCTGGTATGAATAACCAAAACTTCTACTGTAGTTCAAAAGGCCTTTGCATGGCCATATGACTGTTTAATGTTGTATTACATACAGTGGTAAAACAGGGAACTCTTGAAAAATCTTTTTGGGATAGGAAATCTTTAACATCTCTTTGTAAACATTTTTCTTCTCATAGAAATGAAAGACATTTATAAATGGTGACTTCTGTCTTTAAGTAAGGTACTTGGATCTGGCAAAATATATTTGCCAGAAAATATATTTATATGTTGCAACCAAAGAGAAGAGTATGTAGAGTTCTAAAATTCCTTTGAATGTACCTTCCTTAATTTTGAAGAATGTGTCCTTCTTGGTTAATGTTTTCATGACAGGATAAAAAGTAAATGAATGAATGTTGTTCCTCATTACCTTGAAAGTTGTGATTGGTTGCTTCCATTAAATTGGGATTGAATTTCTACTCAGGCTCACCATTTCTTCCTCAGAAGAAGTAACTTTAAGGCTAGAAGCCATTCCCCATTTGAAGCAGTCTTTTGATTGTATACACACTGATTTTACTGTGAACTGCATATAAATATCTTTACACCCATATCTAAAACCATGTGAGCTTTGCCAGTCTAAGGGTTCTGGATAGCTCAGATGGCAGAGACCTCAAAAGGAATGCAGCATTATCTGTATATTGCTTAGCACTAGATTTTGTTGGAAGTGGAAGATACTAAAACCTTTCCATCTAGAGTATGATTTTTAGAACTCTGAAACTTCTGACACATTGTTACTAAAACAGTTCATCATTAGCTTAGAGAAGGGGATATTTTGGAATATCCCAAAGTAAATGGCCACTCTCCTGAACATGGGTAAAGTTGTAAACCAGCAAGGATTATTTAATAGTGTCTTAGCCATCTAGTGCTGCTATAACAGAAATACCACAAGTGGATGGTTTTAACATAGAGAATTTTATTGTCTCACAGTCCAGTGGGCTACAAGTCCAAATTTAGGGCATCAACTCCAGGGGAACGTTTTCTCTGTCAACTCTGAAGGAAGGGCCGTGTCATCAATTTTCCCTTGGTCTGGGAGCTTGTTTGCGCAGGAACCTCAGGTCCAAAGGACGCACTCTGCTCCCGGCACTGCTTTCTTGGTGGTATGAGGTTACCATGTGTCTCTGCTCACTTCTCTCTTTTATATCTCAGAAGAGACGGGCTTAAGACACTATCCAGTCTTGTAGACCTCATCAGTAAAACCTCATCATAGTGATCGAGTTTACAACACTTAAGGAAATCACATCAGATTACAAAATGGTACACAATCATGCAATACTTGGTATCATGACCCAGCCAAGTTGACAGATATTTTTGGAGGACACAATTCAATCCATGACAAATGGCCAGCAATAGAAACTAAATCTGGATAACAAGTAGAAAAGGAAATGTAGTGGGCCATGTAATTATAAAGTTCAAAGGGAAAACTAGCTTATTCATGACTGAATCCAGGGGCTTAACTTATGTCAACAACACTAGTTCTTCATCTCTTAACAATGTAATTTCCTTTGTTGCTTTTATTTTTAATAAAGTATTTTCCATATTCTGTCAAATATAGTCACTGGTAGCTGCAAGTTTCCATCGTCTTTTCCTCTCATTATTTCAGAGAAAATGAGAATATCTCTTTCTTGATTATTTGAGCAAAATTTCTGGAGAGGACCCTGATTGGGCTGACTTAGTTTGGTGGATATCCTTGACCCTATCACGATGGCCTCTGATTGGTTATGGTGGTGTCTTTGGTTGGAGTCTCTAGAGGAGCAAAACCAATGAAGCATATATATATATATAT